ATCAAACAACTTCTAAACCAGATTAAAGCTACTGTCCTACACACTTCGAAGTGGCATCCTGAATTTAGGCCTAAACAGCAGGTAAACGGGATTTGAACCCTATGTCGTTGTATTTTCTACAATTCATTGAGTAGTCTTCACGACGCCATAAATATTGACTCAATCTTGCTTCTCACAAGGTTATCTTTTCCGGGATGGGGCACACTTTCTACCCCATTTGGTTCTCATCATCATCGAATTATGGGCCTCAAGTGGCAACAAGGGCCAGGGCCACAGAGCGGATGTGACCTTCAAAGTAGGCTAGGCTATGTTCAAGTCGAATTTTTTGTGGAATTTGGGATGTATCAAACTTGTCTTCGTCCCAGCAATTCTTGCTGAGTATGTGTCAAGACCACCAGTAGATCTTAGATAAGAAATTCTTATGCAGCTCTTTTCGCTGATCAGTTTCACTCTGACTAGCTCGTATCATTCCGCTAAGTATTGCCACCACGTTTGCTCGATTCATTTAATCACACCTGAAGATGTGTACTGTTCTGCTTGAAAAGTAGAGCTTGCCATCAAGCCTCACTTTAGTTGTTTGTATACAATAGAATAAAAATAGCAGTAGTCGCATGGCGTACAATTTAGAGATGCTACCATCTCTTATATATTGCACCCAATGTGGGATTGCCGATGAGGCAAACTTATAGTTTGCTCCTGCGATCGATTATATTACTTATACTCGCAATTAGTAGGTTTCGATGCCGTCAGTGGGTCTTAAATACGAGCTCTAGCCATCATTTTATGATGCATAGCTGAAATAATTTCAATGGCATAGTGGGAAAATTGAACCTTCCGTTCTTCAGCACACTAGGCTCCCATGCAAGCTCTACGGACAATAAAAATAGATTAATATATACATCCTTGGGTCTGGACACACGGTGTCCGAATCCCACCATTGGCTCTGTTGAGGGTATTATAGGCCAGAAAAACTTCTGAACAGATATCGAGATGAGTTTATCCCGTAATAGAAGTTCCTCCTCGATTGCTCGTGGTCAGTTCAACAACCATATTCTGAGACAACACTTGTCCAGTAGAGCGCATCGCACCAAATGTAAATTACTTTCTATTTTACTTAGCCACTGACTTACCGATCGAGAAACTGTGAATTCCTCTTTAATGGCTCAAGAAATGTTAGCATTGCAACTTCTTAGCAAAGTTACTTAACTCTCAAAATGAAAGCATTCCTAACTTACAACACTCGAAATAGCCAAGATTCTTCTGATATACTGGCACAGCTTCCTTTGGGCAGAGGCATATTCCAGTTTCTAACTGCATCGAACTATCGTCTAAAGCAAATCGGTCATCGGTAAATGTTTCGTGTCTTCGTGGCAGGCATGAATTGTTTTTGTTTGAGCAACCCTCAAAAGAGCCTTCAGTTGGATTTCTTCCCACCTCGTCATTGAGCCATGCACTGGATAGCTCCACGACAGCAACCTCTGAGTCCGGGTTTCCCGGAGCGCCAGTCTCCAAGACGATTCGATTTTTTTGCCTCTCACTTGACAATTGGATGCACACCGCCCTGGGTGAACGACATCTTAGATCGTGACTGTTGCAAGCTTCCCCCAGATCAGCTGAAATAATTTGGTACAAAATATAAAGTACAATGATAAAAATTGCTTCAGGATCTAATTGCATAGCCAATATATTGAAAACAAAATTGAAGAGGGAGCTTGAGTTATCTACGGCAAAAATTCGACAAAATAGGAGGGATCATTAAACCATAACAGATTAATTTATTTCATTTTATCAGTGATTATTAAATTGATCTATTTTGGGTATATCCTATTTAAACATTATAATCATGGGACCGCAGATCTAAGAAAAATTTGATAACTTTAATTCTAATCCAATCCAATTTAACGTATTAGTGGAGGATGCAAGTTATCGACAAAATTGCAAAACTCTGCTCTGACTATCTGACAGAAGTCATATCCGGTGGCGAACGTTTGTGTTTACGTTTTAAAGCATATTCTAATATTTCTTACCAAAGACCTATTGGACTAAACATGTTTTAATTTTATATAAGAATTTGCATCATCAACTGGAGGGAGATACCTCTTCATAAGTACGACGCCAATTAGGTCGCCTTAGTCCTTAGGTTTCTTCTTTCTGAGCCGACCTCATTTCGTGTGGAAATTTATGATGACCAAAGCTGACCTCAAGAAGACGGAATATTTTCCCAAATATGATGAAATTTCACTTTACTGCGGAGTTTAGGCCGATGCAATCCACGGAACATGCCACTTCAATTCTTCTGAAGCCGAGTTCTCCCTCATTACTTGACCAAACGGATCTTAGCGGGACTGAAGGTCATTCTCATAATAATTGTAAGCTTACAAAGAGTCGAGAGTGTCTGCTATAATCTTGACTCGATTTTGGCATGCTGATATAAAAAGATGGAGTTTCAGCTATAATAGATGTCTATCAATTGGCACTACTGGCAAACATTTTGCAAATTTATTACTGGAACCGAAGAAGTGAAGCTCAAGTTCTGTATCAGGCAATAAAATAGAATTATAGCAAATTGAATGGACTATTATCTTGTCTTCTGGTTAGATCGGTCTGAAAATAATGTATCATGTACTTATAATCTGAGCGAAGTTGAGCCAATCATCACATTTTAGGATAATCATCCTCCTGCATATGCAGGAGGTTAGGACAAGTGGTTTTTTAACTTGACTTACATGCTTACAAGCTCATATCTCATTATCTCAACCATAACTGTTTACGGACTTACGTAGTCTCGATCAAGGCTTTCTCTTGTGTCATTAGGTCTTGCGCAACAGAACCTGAGATTAA